CCCCATCACTACTTGGCTGGGAAAATTCAGCCCAAATGTAATTAGGACCTCTTTTTTGACAAACTAATCCAATTAAAAGTATCAATAATGTATGTGCATTTGAAATAGCAACATATTATTTGGCAAATCCACTTTGTTGAGAAAGAATTGATCACTGGTTCTGAAGACATGACCGTTGTGGCAGAAGCATGACTATGAGGTTAGGTGGAGTAGACTTGAGGGCAACTTTTCTGCAGCAAAAATAAACTCAAAAGAATTGATTTTATTTTGAAATGTTGAAATATTTTTACATTCTAGTCACGTACACACAACACAGACAGAGTAGACAAAATTCAAGCCAATCAATGACTACCATTTTCTGCCACCTATAATTAATCACCATGTGACTAACTGGCTTCAATAATTTAGAACATATTTTCAAACTAACATTGTTATGAAAAGACACTTCTATTTTTCAGCAATGATACAATAATCCCAAAAATAAAGGCCAAAATTTTCTAATGGTGGGATCGTTATCTCTCCACCATAGTTGGAAGTTCTGCACACGGACCCTGCAGAATCTCCAATGTAGCAGACTCCAAGGAAATTGCAGGGGAAATTGAAAATTTCCCTATGTCTAAAACTTTCAGAAAGCATCTGTTTAAATCTGAGAATTCAGAGAGTTCATCTGCAGTCAAGAAAATAGTTACTCAAGAAAAGTTAGACTATTAAATACATACTCTGAATCCTACATATCTATTTAACTGGCTTCCTGATTCTGCTTATATATCACTAATTACAACTACCTTGGGACTTGACTGGCCTTCCACCAAACCTGTGGATGCAACAAGCCTTTGGATCTGCCTCCTACACCCTACCCATCTGGCACGCTACCCACTACACTCCAGGCAGCATCAGCGTTTTTGGGTTGCATCTGTGGAGAGAGAAAGAGTGTTCAGGTCATTAAGTAATCGTTAGAACAGCAAAACGTTAGAGATGTAGTATGTAGGAATGTATTTGATATTTTGAAAGTTATATAATACTTGTACATAAACATATACTGAATCACTTGAGTCCAAGTTATCCATCATCCCTTTGCTCACTGACCTACAATCACTTTGCACCTGACAGTGCCTCAAATATTAAATTTTATTCCTTGTTTTTAAATTATTCCATGGACACAGGCCTTATTTGTCCTTTCCTCTATAACCTCCTGAACTGAGGGGATTCTAATCTCCTGATTATATTGGTCAGCCAGGGATTTCCTGATTGGCACAGGTTAGCAACCCCAATCAATGACATCATAGTCAACAAGGTCAACCTGGTTCCAATCACTACATTATTGTATTTAAATTTCATGCTAAAATTCTTTTGTTTAAAAGCTATTTTCATGTGGTCCCAAAGCCATTTTGAGTTAGTATCCTTCTTTTCAGATTGTAGACAAACTACTCATACATCATAATGGTAATTTTCAAGCACTTTCAACTAATTTAGGGCAGAGATGAAATGGTGAATATGGGTGCGGAAATATGGCATTCGCTCAGGGACCCTTCTGTTTGACTACTGCTGAGAAGAAATAGTTTTGAGCAAGAATTCTTAACAATCAAACAGTCACTCTGGACTGTAGCCATTATGCTGTAATTTGTTATCTCTCTTTTTACATTGATGTGTTCAATCAAGCTGTCAGTTTTTGCTGTAAGGTAGATTACTGACTACTCATGTTGGGTGACATATTTCACTGAGAGTACATAAAATAGAACTGCACTGTTATTCTAAAACAAGTTCGTGACTTACCTAGTCTGGAGGCATTCCCATTGACACTTGTCATGTCCAGCATGACATAAGCAGTATATTCTGCAGATTGGGCAGAGGTTACAAGGCTCCTCAATGACTGTGAGTTGAAATGTTTTCTTAGCAAGGCAAAACAGGAACGGGGACATTTTGTGTGAAATGCTTAAAATCAACTAAAATTTTCTTTGGGGTGTTGGTCATGGCTCGTTGTGAAACACCCTCACCTCTACATCAGGAGCTTGTTGGTTCAGATGTTAGAGCAGAGGCTTGCATTATTACCTAAGCTAACTCTCCCATACAGTACTTACAGAATTTAACATACACTGAGCTCCTGTTTTACCATGCCATGAACCTATTTTGAAGAGGAGCATTGCTGGGTCATTGTCTCATTGTAGTTTGTGAGCTTATTGTGCACAAATTCAGTACAATAGAACAATGACAATGCTTCAAAAGTATAATTGACCATAAAGTACTTTGAGATCACCTGAGGTTATTCAAGTTACTGTACAAATAAATATAGATAAATAAATTTAGAACACACTCTGTCCTAAACTGTACAGCTGAAAGTTATCAATGAATTTTCCCTCTTCACACTCCCAAAATTTATTCAGTAAAATTTCCAATTCAGGGAAAATTAATGGGAAATCATATTTTGTACAAAGGAGCATTCTTACTATAAATTTTGAGGGGGGGTTGGTTAAAGGTCAACCACATTATTGTGGGTCTGGAGTCAAATGTAGGGCAGATTGGGCAAGAACGGCACCAGTGAACCATCTGGAATTTTATGACAATCAATGATTGTTTTATGGTCACAATTACTGAGCCTGTCTTCCAGGGCAGACAATGCATGGTGGTAATGTCACTGGACTAGTAATTGAGAATCTAGGCCATTGTTCTGTGGACGTGGGTTTGAATCCCATCATGACACATGGTGAGATTTAAATCACAAGTTAAAAGTTGGTCTAATGGTGGTCATGTAACTGTGCATCTGGTTCACTCATGTCCTTAATGGAAGGAAATCTACCATCCTGACCTAAATATGGCCTCTGACTCTCAGCAATATGTTGACTCTTAACTGCCTTCTGCGCAGTCGATGATGGCCCAGTCAGAGACACTCTTATCCTATGAATGAGGATTTTTTTTAAAGTCAACATCTATTAAATGAATTCAAATTAAATTGCACCATCTGTATCATTGGGATTTGAACCTGTGTCCCCGATCAGCCTGGGACTCTGGGTTACTACAATAGTATGCCATTCCTTAAAACCCTCCATCTCTGTTTCCTTCTGAAAATTTCTTTAAAGACCATTTATTTGTACAAGCATTTACTCCTTTACCTCTTCAATGTTTTTTTTAAACTAATTGCACTTCTGAAAAGTGCAATGGAGCATTTTTTTTCCATTTTATAGACACTGTAAAAATGAAGATTGATAATTGGCAGACAGCATTTGTGGGTGGCATGGTGGCTCAGTAGTTAGCACTCCTGCTTCACAGTGCTAGGGACCCAGGTTTAATTCTGCCCTTGGGCAACTGTCTGTGTTCAACTACCCATAATGTTCAGGGATGTATAGATTAAGGTGTGTTGGACAAATGCAGGGTTACAGGGATAGGTTAGAGGGATGGGTCTGGGTGGGATGCTCTTCAGAAGGTCAGTCTGGAATTGTTGAGCCAATGGTTTCCACACTGTAGAGATTCTAAATCTAAAAAAAACATAGTACAGAAGGATTTATTTTCATAATTTATTTAGATGATCCTTAGGAATTGCCCATCAATACTCCTCTAAGTGCTAACATACAATGACCTACTTTGTGTATCTGCCTGACTGAATACAATTTATCTCCACAATAACTTCAAATGGGAATGATTAGCTGGCTGAGCTGGATTGATGGCTAGCATGTGGTGCAAAATAACACTAACAGCATGGAGACAATTCCTTTGCTGGCTGAGGTAGTCCTTGGGAGGTCCCTTTGGTTACCCTGTCATGTTAAAATAAGTTACGATTGGCAACCCAACATCAAGTAGGATACTCTCAAAAATATTAGGCGTTCCTCTAGTTGCAGCTGTAATTACAGCAGTTTGCAAAGATCAAATATTACACTTGCCAACATTAAGTTTAAGTGATGATTTTTCAATAAGTTAGGGGGTGGGGAGAATTTTCAGACTTTTAAAAATGTTGGGTAAAATTTGGAAGTAGAAATCCTGCCTCCATTTCTGACAAATTCAATTTTTGCTGGTAAAGGAAAGGGTGTGAGGCATGAATCACAAGAAGGAAATCCAAATTCAACAAGGATATTTTAATTTTAATGCTAAGCTCAAACAAGCCCCATTTCACTCCAAAGATGTTAACCCATTGAAATAAAGTAGAAATTGCTGGAAAACCTCAGTAGGTCTGGCAGCATCTGGAGAGAGAAAGCAGAGGAAATGTTTCGGTCCAGTGACCCTTCTTCATAACACAGAAGGATGTTCTGAACAAGAAAAATGGCCTATAGTCATCAGATATAGTAAAAGGAACTCTGTGGGCTGCTTTGATTGGCAGGCCAACTGATATAGCATCTGTTTGAGTAGGTTTAATAGACAGAGATAGTAGGAACTGCAGATGCTGGCGAATCCGAGACAACAAGGTGCAGGGCTGGATGAACACAGCAGGCCAAACAGCATCATAGGAGCAGAGAGGCTGACGTTTCGGGCCTAGACCCTTCATCAGAAAAGGCTTTTCTGATGAAGG